AGCTTGTGCCGCTGAAGAGGTGCCATTCTGGTATAATCGAGAAATCCTCGTCATTTAGGCCGGCTAAAATAAAAATCTTGAAGTTCAAGGAGGGGAGGGGTAGGGCAAATGTGCGCAGAAACTCACTGTAAAGACATCCAGCATATGGAAAAGAAGTTGCGGTGGATAGTAATCCTGAAGAACTATGTTGGCGAACATCTAAAGAAAAAACATTAATGCTTCCGATACCGCTTTCGGATGTACATAACATTTACCTGCTTTATCAGAGCGTCCTCTCGATAAACAATCAAAATCAATCAGCTTGGAGGCAAGCAACTCATCTTCTGAACATCCAAATCCCATTGTCCCTGCGTCTTCTTTCACAGGAGACGATGGATCCTAAACACACACATGTTTTTGTATTAGATTGCTCAAAAAGTTTCTGTTGAATGCAAGGCTCGGCAGCAGTTCCCCGAAGGAAAGCTGGAAATCGTTTTGGGGAGAAGCAGAAGGGAAAACTTATGGGTACGGCAATACGGACGATTCTAGTATCTCCTTCCGTTTTCGCCTTCACGAATACTTATTTAAGCGTCTCCGAAAACTATCTACCCTATAACATGTTCACAAGCTTTCTCTGAGGTTGGGAATGCATCTGAGCAGGAGACTCAAATTTTTATTTTCACTTACTTACATAAACCAGTTTTCTAAAACAACTAGCCGATGAAAGCCAGATGTGGGAAGATGTCGCAAGATATGAAGTTAGAATCGTATGCAAACCATTTGAAAACCTGTGAAAGCAGAAAAATCGCCATACCTTTCAGAGATCTCCGGCGAAGACCTAGGGAAAACTCAGGGCCTTGATTAGCAAACACTTCTTTGTTTCTCATAACTCTGGTGCCCTTACACTTCTTATGTGCACCTAGACCTAACGTATGGCACAATAACCAGATCAAAGCTTTTCTTCCCTTCCTTGCTAAGGCCATTGCTCGTTTTACCTCGAGGAAAAGAACGCACTCAAAACAAATAGCGCTGCAGTACTCGTTTGCTTGCACGCATTTCTACTTACAAGAAAGTTCCGTTGCGGATTTTCAAGAGGCTTTGTAAGATTCAATTGGAGACCTGTGTCGAGCCTGGCTTAAAACTTGGACTGCTTCCGAATCTGATTCTCATATTTGCGAAGTTTTTGAATAAACATGTACTAATTAACCCATTCTTTGTTTTTAAGGTGGATGTGCTTTTTTGAGTAATTAATGGCAAGATACGCCGGCCAATTTTAACAGAAATTTTGTATAACTTCTTTCTGAGAAACGGAAGGCAGAGTTAAGTGTTTCAAGCTGCGTTTCAACTACGCAGGTTTTGAATCGCCACTTCGGCCAAGTAACCTTCTTTGTTGGGTCATAGTAAACTGTATAAAGCAAAGATAAATCATCTAAATTTACACATCTCTGCCGACAAAACCCCGTTTACTTATGTTTAGGGACAAATCTGGTAAAGGCGAGGTAACTCCCGAACACTAATTAGTGGCAAATGTTTGAAATTCAAATTTCTTCACTTGAAGCAATAAGAAACGGGATCGCGGTATTTATGTTCTACACACACTTAACGATCAATTCATGAAGTCATCGAAAATCACAAAATCGTCAGAATCCAAAATAGATGAGTACTTTGGAATGTACATTCAAGAGTCGCAAGTCATTAGCTTTGCTAAATAAAAACATCACAATGGTCGGCTCCCTTTCTTAAAACAATTGATGTTGGTTGATGAAGCAGTACACGTAAAATGGTATTAGACAGTTGTAAAAACATCACTCGTCACGCACAATCTGCTCGCCCAACCGCTATGAAACCTGCGAATTAGCAACATGTATGGAACGGCACTTAGTTAGTGTTGGTAAATAGAGGTGAGAGACAGAGCCCTTCAATACAATATGGTGGCCAGAATACGCTGCACTCAAAGCGAAGCGAATATATGCGAAGAAAGGAAACCCCACATCTCGATATCAGAGTTTTAGAACCTTGGATTTCGCTAAAACTTTGCTCAAAGGAGTTCTTTGACATGCTGATCACGGATATCATACTCATACGGCACGATACAATCATAAGTGTGGTTATGGGTAGACGATGGAGATTCAAGAACATAAAAAAGCGGTTTTTCAGAGTTATTTGACATGCTGACCGAGTAGTATATCTTTTCCGCGTGTTTCAATCACACGGTAAAATTACGGTAGGAATATAGTAATATGCCAAAGTCATGAAATCGCCTGAGATTTCACTTAAGAAGGTTATTCGATGTGCTAACACAACTGCGCACTCGTTTCGTATCATCGTTCCTTAATATAGAGTTAGAAACTGTTTTAGTAAGTTCCGACTCATCTTTTTGCCTAAGCCCCAAATTGAAGATAATCTGTGTGTTCGTTATTACTAACGAACCACTACCAGTTAGATCGAAAACAACGCTAGCTCTTATAACCCATATGTGCCACAATCCCCTAGGCAAAGTTTCAAGCGATTTTGAGGCTCTCCACTATCTCTACCGTAACCTTAAGTATGACCATATTGCGAGGGATGGACTTGATATGATCAGCACGTCAAATAACGCCAATAAACTACTTGACAGATAGTTTCGAGATTTGATCCTAAAATGCAAGATTTTAGAATTTTTAGAAGGTATTCCGGAATTGCGCCAAACTCTCCTGTGCTGTTCGTATCCGTCGTAACCACCGCAGTCAAGTAACGCATGGTGGAAGCGCATTCCAATGATGCTGCGAGCATCGTGATTGTGAATATTTGTTGGCGTCTAAGAGAACAGGTCGCTCATGTATTGTTAGCCAATAAAGGATAGTTAAAATCTAGGTCCATTGCTAGAAACAGCTACACTTCAAGTTTTCGGAATGCCAAGATTAAAACCAGTTGAACGTGGACAATATCAAAACAGTTTGTCCACCGCAGGCTGGATGATTAGATTTATTCTTGCAAGCGTCGTTTGTTCCATTGGAAAGTGGGAATTTCTCTAATTGGAGTCTAGCGGTCAAAGCGCGCACCATGCCAACGGGTTACTAAACACCATATTCTCTCAAACCAAAAAAGTATGGAAAATCGAAAGTTTTAGGTATCGAGTAGGGATTGTTCCAATGGATTTCCTTATCAACTAGGTTTCATGCCATTGAGATGAGATTCACGCGGACGAAAAAAAGAAGTACGCAAACATCTTTTTATGTAGAGCTTCAAGACTCTAAATCGGAGATAAAGTTTGCTCAGGTTATTTGACATACTAACTATGTAAATATCCATTTTTCACGATAGAAATCTACTGCAAGTTCAGAGGTATGTGAGATTGCAAAGATGATTGCTTAGAATCTGATTTGACACAGTTGACTAAGTCTTAATCAAGCAAAACATAATCATGCCGCTTGTAAGCCCTCACTGTATCAAAATCTTTGCCAGAGAAAGTTCAAATTGAATAACTTCACGCCTAAAAACCGAACACTAAAAAAGAGAAATGGATGAGATTGTCGAATAAAGGGCGACATTCAACCCTGCTAGACTAATTTCGTAGGCCAAACTGCGATTTAGAAGTTTCCATACCGTAATCACAGCTTCTTTTTCAAATGCCAGCAGATAACGCACTTAACAGCACTATTGTGCGCAGAACACATGCTCGCCACGGCGTAGCACCTGTGCGCAGCGCAGCCCAACATGTGGAACGCAACGAGCGTTGGTCCCCCGCCAATGGAGGTTTGAAAAGTTCC